AAAAAGTTTTTCCTAATATCCAGCCGATACCTTTCTGCATGTCATTTAAACCTGTTGCTTCAGGTCCTCTCCTCTGCTGCCAACTGGAACAGCTCCTTGCCGTCCTCCAAATGACGGCCTTTCAAATATTTAAAGAGAGCAATCTCCTTTTCTCCAAACTAAACATTCCCAAGGCCCTTAGCCTTTCCTCATAGCGCTCAGTCTCCATACCCCGATGATCCTCGTTGCTCTCTTCTGCACCCTCTCGATTTTGTCCACATCCTTTTTGAAGCCTTTCAAATATTTAAAGAGAGCAATCTCCTTTTCTCCAAACTAAACATTCCCAAGGCCCTTAGCCTTTCCTCATAGGGCTCAGTCTCCATACCCCGATGATCCTCGTTGCTCTCTTCTGCACCCTCTCGATTTTGTCCACATCCTTTTTGAAGTGAGGCCTCCAGAACTGCACACAGTACTTAAGGTGTGGCCTGACCAAGGCAGTATACAGTGGGGCTATGACCAGGTGTTTCCCAAAGAATTTGGCATTTGGAATTGCACCATTCTTGAAAAGCAAGGTGGTTGCCATCCTGGTTGGACGGGGGGGTAGGGTGTTGATAGTTTGATTGCAGATTGGCTGTACTGGGTTCTCTCACCTAAAAACATGGGAAAAGCTGGCCCACTGTGGACAGTAGCTCACTCTGTTTTTCAAATGGACTGTGGGAATAGGTTCTCAAACTGAAGAGTCTGAAGCAAGTTGGTGGTCATTTTTCATACAGCAAATCCCTGTCCTGGAAAAGTTAACAGGCCTTATCGCTGAACAGAGAAATTCTTACTCCTCCAGACCTTGTTCCTTCTCTTCCCTCCCACCCCAAAACTTCTGTTTCCTCCCTTGACCTGAGGAGCTGCAGTTGCTCCCAGGCCCCCTTTTTATATTCCTTTCCTTCATAAATATTGTGTGATCTTTCTCTAAGAAAGGGCTGTGTCTGTACTACTTATGCTAAAACATTCAAGCAATTGGTCTTTGTGATGTTTTTACAGGGCAGATAGATGGTCAGGAGATCACTGCAACGGGTGTCTTGGCTCCTCGGCCTAGGCTACCCCCAAGACGTTTCTCCCCTCCTAGGAGGATGCTGCCGCCACCGCCCATGTGGCGTCGGTCACCACCACGTATGAGAAGAAGGTAGGTTGTCTTCAGGAGCTGTGGGAGCAGAGCAGGGCTGTAGGTGTTTACAGTTGCTGGTTCTGTAATATTTGTTTGGAGTAGTGGTTTGGTGTGGAGAACTGGGTTTGATTCCTCAAGCTTCCACATGCAGCTGCTGGGTGACCTTGGGTCAGTCACAAGCTCCCTTAGAGCTCTCTGAGCCCCACCTGCGTCACAGGGTGTCTCTTGTTGGGGAGAGGAAGGGGAAGGAGATTATAAGGTGCTCTGAGACTCCGAGTGAAGGGCGGGGTATAAATCCAATATCTTCTTCTATTTTGGCTCTGTCCAGAGTTTGATGTAAATCTCTGGATCTAACTCACCTGCAAATGATAAAGTTTTGCTTCTTGTAACCAATTGACCCTGAAGGTCTTAGAATTTTACTTGGTGAAAAAGAACATGTAACTGCTTTCTATAGATTATGTGGGTTTAGATCCCACAGATCTGTTTCATAAATAGTGCTTGCTTTAGCACGAGGATCCTTCTCCTGACACAAGAGGCTGTTTGCCAGAGAAAAATACTTGTAGTTGTTGGGGAAAGCAGTGGTATTTGTGAATGATGGTTTTTACACACATCCCGCTAGGGGTAGTGCACTGGCTTTACCATCTGCAGTAAAGAAGGATACCATAGAGTTGGATGAGGTTTGGAAAAGGGCAATGGAAAAGATTCTCTGCAAGAAAGGAGAAGTGTGAGCCTTTTTAGTTTAGGGGGGAAAGGTGACTGAATGGAGACATTATAGAGGTTTATAAAATTATGCAGTGTGGTGAGACCCGATCGCATTCTCTCATTGTCCCACAGTTCTAGAATCCAGGGTCGCAGATTATATTGATTGGATGTAGACAGAAGAAAATACAGTTTTTTGTTAAAACAAAAAAAACCATCTTCCCATAAGCTATCTCCCTATGCCACTGAATGCCAGTTTGCGTGTGCATTGCGAATGGCGGACTAGTGAATGGCTTCATGTTTGGTTCGCGAGTTTCTTTGGAACCGTCTGGCTGTCCATGGTTGGGATTGGGAGGCTGGACAAAACGGATCTCTGATCTGATCCAGCAGGGCTCTTAATGTTCTTCCATACAATGTGTGACTGTCTCTGCCATGGCTCTGTTTTGTCTCTACTCCCTTGTGGCTAGAGAAACTCAGGCCACTGAGGCAGAGCTAAAGAGAAACGTCTTTGTATTCTTTTGAGTTTACATTGAGGGTGGATCATTTTGAGTGTGTTCATGAGGGTACTTCAGCTGGTAGTAAGCCAGCGGCTACGCTTGCAGTGGAATTGGAAGGATGGAATTGCAGTTGGTTGCAGACTGTCTCTCATCCCTCCCTCATGGGGACCCAAAGCAGCTTATCACATTGTTCTTCTGTCTGCCACTTTGTCTTCACAAGAACAACCCTGTGGGGTAAGTTAGACTGAGAGAATGTGACTGGTCCAAGGTCAGCCAGCAAGTTTCTGTGGCAAAGCAGGAACCAGTTGTCCCAAGTCCTAGTGTACCACACTAACCATGCCAGTTCTGTCTCTTCATGTTGTTATGATCCAAGGAAATGATGCTGGTCAGTGCCTGAAAAAAATGACCTGTGTTCAGAGTGTGCATGTGGGAGATTGGGGGTAGGGGGGTAGGATGTGTGTGTGTGTCCCACCCCCTCTTAGGTGTAGTGTAAACTCACCAAAATGTTGCTGCCCTTTAGAATATGTAAATTGCTTTGGGTCTTCCTGAATGAAAAGGAAATAGACAGGTGTAAATGATTGAAAGGAGGCCTCCCTAACGAAATGGTGCTCTTCTTCCCAATCTGTTTCCCTGCAGGTCCAGATCTCCACGGCGCAGGTCCCCCGTTCGTAGGCGGTCAAGATCTAGGTCTCCAGGTCGAAGGCGTCACCGCAGTCGCTCCAGTTCCAACTCTTCTCGATAAAACACAAGACTTGGCAGCTTCCTAGTTGTTGCTTTTTAAATCAACTCAAGTCCTATACCGATTAAAATTATACATTTTTGAAAGAAAGGCGTGGGAATGGAACCAAAAGAAACTTGCAGGCTAGTGATGGGAGACTGACTGGGAGCCAGGGGAGAAAAGTTAACTTGCATTGTGGGTCTTTAAAAGCGGGCTCTGATGTTGTCAGGTTATGTTGCCCTTTTGACAGTAAATCTGTGCCCCCGAAGCCCAAAGAGCGACTGCTTAAAATATACCCAGAGGCTCAGGAACTCCTTGAAAATTAAAGCTGGAATTGTTGCAAATAAGAAACAGCAAGTTAGCAAGGGAAGCGGCTGGCATTTCTGTTGGACTATTTCAGAGGGTGGAAGTGTCCCTTCCCTCTCACCGCTCCCAGTTAATTTTGATACAACCTCTTTTTATTCTCTCTTCTCCCCCAGTTAATTCCTTCTAGTGGGGATGTTTGGTGCCAAGGACTGTTCTTAATGCAGTGAATGTACCCATTCAGGATTTTGCCCAGGGACTTGGCAAAGACTGTGGTCCTCCTGTACGACTTGCAGTAGGTTGTGCATTCGAACCCGTCCCAGTCATTTGAGAAACTAGTTTGCTTGTAAAGCTTCCCTTTCTTAGCCAAATGGTTTCGGTCCATATTTCACATCCTGTTCCTCCCAGCGCTGATGTAAATTCTTCTGTCCTTTTTTTTTGTTTTGTTTGAGGAAATATGAAACAGGTTGGCAGAAAAATTCTCAAAGGCCGGTTTTGAAGCAGACCAAGTTGGCGGGATGGGAGTCATTAACGTTCAGATTGTGAAAGGCAAGAGATTTGCGGCCTGCTGTACAGTCATTACCATAAAGTTTGATTTTTGTATGACTTTGTAGCATCTTGTAGTCGTGTTGTGTTTGTATGTGTGCGTAGAATGACAAGATGGAATAAAACCACGGTTTTGAGGAAATGCATGTTCGTTTTCTGTTAATAAACTTGATGCGTGTCCAGTGTTTTTACCTGTTGCCCCCCCTGTAATTGCTGTTTTGGGTTCCTCAAAGACAATCAATTGGAGGCTGAGGAGGAACGAGAGCAAAATGGCAGCACTGATTGCCTGAGGGGATCCTGTGTACTTTTAGGTCTCACTCTGCCTCGGTTGGGGGATCTTTCCGTCCCAGCAGGCAATGGGATTCGTTCCTGGATAAAAGTAATCTCAAAGGGTTATTTTAAGAAGAAATGCTTTAAACTTGCAGCCTGCTTACACTTTCAGTGTTGTGCTGCAGGTTTGATTCCCCGCTCCTTCACATGCGACTGCTGCTGTGACCT